TGATTCGCTTCATTGCGTAATAAGATGACAAGAGAAAGACTTGAACGACGGCATATAATTCTTTGGGGGCATCGGGGACTTCAAGTGGCTGACTGAGTCGTTTCAGAAGACAAAGTGCCACAGACAAACTAGTCATCAATCCGCTGGTTGTGTTAAGAGGCACAGGTATTTAACATTCGCCTACTGTATTTCATTCAACAATTATGACCACCGTACGACCAACACCAACGCTATTCATATGTGGTAGCTTCAAGTCGCACCGTAATCGCAACTTATGCTAACTTCGGATACCCCGTTTTGAAGACATTTTCCGGGTCGAACTTCTGCTTGATCTCCCTGAGCCTTGACAGGGTGTCCTCGCCATATGTTGATACCCAATCCATGTCTCTTTCAGGGCCCAGGTTACGGTTCCCGTATGGAAGCATTTGGCCTTGTTCTGAGAGGGAGTCGACCAAATCATCCGCCCACTTCTTATACTCTTCATATTCCGCCGCCTGTGCGGTGGTATCGATGACACCACCCGAGGGAGCTGCTATGCGATGCCTCTTGCGCAGAGGATAGCACACTGACGGGTTCGCCTCGATGGCTCGACCATGAGCGGCATGGATGACAGTAGCCGAGGTTGCACCCGGTGGTGGATTGCTGCCGAACGCACTGGCTGTTCCTGGAGTGAAATATTCGAACATCCTCAGTCGAGGATACCAGTGGACATTAGTCGGCGAGGGGATTGCATTGAAAAACGTAAAGTCGTCCACTGCAGGCCTAATAAGTTATTGTCGTCTGTATAGGAGGGCTGCGGTACATACCTTCTGCCACCGTGTTAAGAACTGGCGTACCAAGAGACTTCATCTTCTCAAAGAAAGCCCAACCCTGTGCCAGGTCATCATTCTCTGATGTCCAAGCAAACAGCCAGGCAAATACGGGACCAACGCCTGGGAGAGTCATGTGAGTGGCTTCGCCAGTGAAATTGACAGGCAAATTCCTCTCAAATTCACCAAACTTCTTCAACACTTCGCCAACCTGATCATTGGGAAATCCGAGAAAGCCCGCCAAGAAGCCTGTTTGGGGATACACCTTGAGTTGCAGCTCGACTACAACACCAAAGTTGCCGTTGCCAGCGCCGCAAAGAGCCCAGAGCAAATCAGGATGATCGTTCGTGTCGACGATGTCGCCGTTCGCGAGAACCACACGCGCACCGAGGATTTGGTCAGCGCCTAGCCCATGGTAAGCGCTCGTGTATCCGTAACCACCCCCCATAGCCCAGCCAGCGATGCTGACAGTCGGACACCAGCCGTGGGGGGTAACGAGCTTGTGCTGTTGCAGAAAGCGCGCGAGTTTGATGCCCAGGATGCCGCCGCCAACGCGGACGGACTTTTTATCCTCGGCGATGAGGATGCTGTCGAGACTTCTCAGATCCACGATGACGCCGTCTTTGCTCTGTGCCTGCCCGAATGTCAAGTCATGCCCACCGCTCCTGAGGCCGAATGGGATGTCTTGAGTTTTCAGCTCCTTGATGACGGCCACGACTTCAGCTTCGGTCCTCGGCCTGATGATTGCGAACGGCTGTTGGGTCATGTTCGCGTTAAAGAAGCTTCGAACTTCCTCATACTTCTCGGCCGAGTTCGTGTATACCAAAAGATTGGAGAAGTTCGTTGTGAGGTTTTTCAGCTTGGGTGCATCTGAAGCGATCTGCTCCAGCGTCGATGCTGTGGGGTGAGACTCTCGGAACTCTGGTGAAGCCTCAAGTGATGCCATTGTGGTTGACTTCTCGATATGGAATGTTGGTTGACATTGCGAAGTGTGAGATCACAACGGCGCTTATGTATGTCCCTTAAATGCTATGCGCGGAAGGGGATCTGCTGCCAAAGCGTGCAGCGCTCATCTAGGAATCTAAACAAGGACTATTAATTGGACAGGAACCCGAGAGATTTAGCCATGCTACCGTGGGGGAGGGGTCGGCTAGGCTGACGTGAGATTGAGGCAGGGCAGTATATGGTTTCTTGACGAAAGTCCCCAAAAGAGGACGCGTACAGATGGACGTATGGCCACGTCGCGATCGGTAACAGCCGCGGATTAGTTGAGGAGCTGTCAATCTCATGTCAATTTGATGCCTCCTGAAGGATCCAGAAGGAAATAGCCATTGTAATAGGTCGAGGTCTTGAGCTGTAAATAGTCGAGAGGGGTAACGATAGGCTGGGCTTGGCATTACTCGTAGCTCAAAATCATGAGTTGTGTAATATGCGGCTCAAGATGCACTTGAGACCAATGATGGATTCTGGACTAGGTGTTCGTAGAAGGTAAGATGGTGTAATCAACTCCTGGATTCAACGTGGCGGTCTAGACATGGTAGATTGGCAATCGACGGCCTCCGACGGCCTGCAATCGCTTCGCATTGTCTGCGTTAGAACTCGACAGACCCCAGACACCTATCCAGCCGGAGTGAAGCTCGCCGACTTCTGTTAAGTGGCATGTGCTTGTGTCTCGGGACCATCATTATGTGCTGGCTCTCGGAATTCTGGCGACGTGTAGTACTAGCTTTTCGAAAACCTTGATACCGGCAGAATCATGGACATTTTCGGTCCAAATGACATCCTCGAGCTTGGCCTTGGCTTCGGGCCATGTAGGTCCCAGAGAGTCTCGCAGATTGGCCAACTTCGGCAAAAGCCAACGGTCGTCCTGCTCTTCAAAGACGGATATGGCACCGATAACAAGGCTCCAGGCCAGTAGGAGTTTCGTGGCAGCGCATGTGGAGGCTGAGATCTCGAAGTTCTTGCATGCTGACCTAAGCTTGGTAGTCAGGGAGGTGAACTGGAATTTTGCACCTTGTACTTGGAGGAAGAGGGTGGTGATGTAGCTGATCATCCCAAGGCGACCTAGTTCGGCCAAGGCATTGTGTGCTGTCGTCTCCGAATACAACAGCCGGTATTGAACGCAAGTCATGAACTCTTGAAATAGGTTCGGGTCAATCTTGCGATTGGTGTGGTATAGTGCGGTCGCCAGGCGGGAGAAGTCGTGGAGATCTTGGAAGACGTTGCCCAAGCGACTGTCGGCGGCGTCTAAGAGAAGTCGTATGCTTGAAGAGCCAGGGCAGACCTCGGAGCCAACAGGGACTTTGCCCAGTATAGGGGAGAAAGCAGGCTCCCATGAGAAGGTATCCCGGAAGTAGAGCGGCTTCTCGCCGGTGCATAAACTCCAGCCAATGTCCACCCTTTGCTTCGTCAGATGTTGGGCATGAGATATCGAGGAATGGCACGTACCGGCAGATCTTGACCTGTAATTGAAGATTGTGAGAGAAGCTTTCGATTCCGCCCCTTAGCTTCACTATCTGACGCATGCCTTGGATATGTGCGGCGGCATTGTCGCGCTGTCCGAAGATTTCGGCCACCATACACATGGACACAATCGTGGCGATGGTCGAGTCGGCCAAAGCCATGTCTTGGTCCGCAATATTTTGGTTCAACAGCTGGAGTGTCTTCCAAATATGGAAGTTGGTGTGCTTGCTTGGGCTGTCTCCTTTGACAGTGTCGTTCATCAATCCTACCGTGAATAAAATCGAGTGCAGAAACGCGGCATCTGTTAGAAGCCAGTAGAACCACGGCGTCTTGCTCTCGTCGTACTGCAGGCACCATTCGATGGGGTACATCGTCTCTTTAACGACGGCGTAAACTATGACCAGGTGAGCATAACGACAATCTCGGAGCAGGGACCAAACACACATTCGAATAGCATGCCTCGCGAGGCCGCGTCAATATCGTCGGCAAATTGGAACATGTAAAGGTCATTGGGTGTGCGAAATACATGCTCGTACCAGGCAATCTTGTAGAGCTTTTGTTTTCTCGGCTCTTTAACGAGAGCAGTGAGTGACTTGGGCGCAGGTGGTTCCTCTGGTTCCTGTGGGGGTTGAGGACTAGTCTGGTTCACCCATTTGGTCGAGCGCTTTTGGCCGCCACGAGACGGGCGTGTATTCTTGCCTCGCATGACATGACTGCGTATGAGTTTCCGATCGTCTGTCGTGGGCTTTCCAGATGTATCTGTGATGACAAAGGCAAATCCCTTGCTGGCTGCAGTAGCAACGTTAGAGTGGATGACCATGGGTAGATGGATTAGAGATCATACTAGGCCGTTTCTGGTTTCCCATCTTCAACCCAGCGGATCTCAAGGGTTCTATTGCCTCTTCTAGTGAATGATCGAGTGGAGTTCTCGTATGTAATCAGCATTGGCTTGATGGAGACCTGACGGAGCTAAGGGTGCAGTCGAAACGAGCTCTGGGATGCTCTTCGAGCTGAGTTTGAAGTGAGAAGACCGGTAGGGAGGAAGAGCTGTTTACCCAAAGGGGAAAACAATCGAGGAAACGGGTCACGGAGCGTTCAAAGGCAACCAAGACCAAGCGTAAGACGGCCGGATTTACCCTGCAATCTTGCCTTATCCTGGCCCAATCTCCCCCCTCACTACGACAAAGTAAGCTGGCACGACACAACCAAAGTCCCTTCGCCGAGTACTGATTGTTGCCTTCTTCCGGCCTAGCGCCGATCCTTCCGGCCTCAGCCCCGCTCGCTGGCGGCCGCTCCGCCACGTGATATCCGGCGGTTTAGTGGACCAAGGCACTGGCGGGGGATCCATACACGCCGTCCACACACCGATTGCTTTCCGGCCTTGGACAAGCCCTGCTTCTCACATTTGATTGATGTCCATATTAGGTAACCAGTCGGTCTTCCCTTTCGAGACAGCAATCCATCACCAGGCATCCACGATGCCTCAACTTCAGCCATCTCTAGCGTTTCAGTGCCTCTGCCCTCCGGTCTACGCGCGTTCAAGAGTGCAAATTGCCTTACGTCCCAAGATTGAAGCTGCTCATACCTCAGACGACTTGAAAGCTATATATTCAGCACGAATCCGATGATGAATCTCAACATGCTGCTCTGCACAGCTCAATGCAATCACATCAACAACCGCAACAACCGCAACACCTTACTTCTTCTCGAATCACCTCACAACTCATCATGACGAGCTCACTTGAACTTACTCCCCTTACAATGGGGCCAGGCAGACTATTCCTTAACTCCCAGTTCTGTGCCACAGTCCGAACACCACCAAAGGACCTCTCCCTCTCCGGGAAGACGGCTATCGTTTCTGGAGCCAACATCGGGCTGGGCTTCACTGCCGCACGCCAGCTGCTCGATCACAATCTCTCACGCCTCATCATCGCCGTTCGATCCGCTGAAAGAGGCGAGGCTGCCGCAAAGACCCTGAGAGAAAGCCATCCCGACGCTACGGTCGAGGTCTGGTCTCTAGACATGCTCTCATACAAGTCCATCCAGGACTTTGCCAACCGCTGTTCCACATTGCCCCGGATCGACTACGTCATATTGAATGCCGGCATGGTTCAGGAAGACTTTTGGCTCTCGCCGGCAGGCCATGAGCAAGTCTTCCAGGTGAACTATCTGTCGACTGCCCTCCTCGCCATCCTTCTCTTGCCAGTCTTGAAGTCCAAGAAAGCTTCAGGCCAGCCAAGTAGATTGACAATCGTCAACTCGGGTACGGCCTTTATGGCCAAGTTCCCGGAGCAGGACAAAGTTCCCATGATAGCCGCATTTGACGACGAGAAGGCTTTCAATGCCACGGATCGGTATTCGACGTCGAAGCTCTTGGGTCACCTCTTCATCATCAAGCTCGCCGAACACGTCCGAAGGGAAGACGTCGTCGTCAACCTCGTCGACCCGGGTCTCTGTAAAGGATCAGGACTTCACCGCCACGTCGGCAGCCTCATCAAGACGATAGCGGAGGTGGGAAAGAGCTTGACGGGGAGAACTCTCGACGTCGGAGCGTCAACATACCTTGATGCGGCCGTCGTTCGAGGAGAAGAGACTCACGGAAGTTACTTGATGGACTGGAAAATCTTTCCGTAAGTGCTGACTGCCCACGCCCTTTCGTCGATGGACCTCGCTAACCGCTCGCTGACAAAGCTTTGCCAACATCATCTATACACCACAGGGCAAGACCGCCCGAGAGCAATTGTGGGAGGAGACTTTACAGGAATTGGACTTTGCCGGGGTGCGCTCGATCCTTCGCTCCATGCAGTAGGACTCGCGATAAGGACCTCGCTTCCTTCCGGGCCCTTTTGCCCCGTCAGCCTGGGACTTAGCATTACCTGGGGAACATGTTGGGTCGTATGCAGAAAGTCTAATTGCTGATTGATGCAGTCGCCTCGGATGGATACAATAGTTTCTGGTGTCAGTCTGCCTGCTTTTCTTGCTCCGTTTCCGATAAGGTGTATTGGGTGGATGGGCTTCGCTTAGATATCTCGTATCATCTTTGGTCATTCCATGGGTATTCTGGTCTACATAGAGTAATGAATTAACAGTCTCACTTCTGTACCGATTTTTCAGTTCCAACAACGCCCGCTTGTGAACGTCTCAACCGCAGGCTGTCCATCATTATGTCTGGCAAGTGGTGGCGTCAGGATGCTGTGGCGAGCTGGCATGGTGGCAAGCCGTGATCCACGAACAAGGAAATGAGTACGTGACATCTATCTCGAAGGCTTAGAGATAACGATCAATCTCAAGCTGACATTCATCTACTGAAGTCCCAATCCTTCATATCGGATGAACCGTCCGTTACGGCGCAATTGGCAGATGCAGGAAGGCGGAAGAGGTGTGTAGATCGAAGCGAGAGCTCGCCATAAGGCGCAAGATCATCAATATACTGCGTCTTCATCGGTGCAGCGGACACCATCTAACGCCGTCTCGCAGTCCACGAAGGTCTGGTCCCGGTACCAGAATCCTGTAGCCTGGCAACGGCAATTTCCTGCTTGACATGACAGCTTATGCCAAGGTGCCTCACCACTTATGTACGGTCGGTGTGGCAAGGCGCCTTCTTAGTTGAGATGGTACGTTGTATTGCTATCCCAACTGAAGGGGGCTAGGCTCTGCCCCTCCAACGATGAGTGAGCTTCCAACTCTGCATTACAATACTCAGGGGAACGATGGCATAGCGACCCGTGAGAACTAGCAAACGATCCTCGAGTCTTGGCGATCTTACCTTTTGGATGGCTCGCGATAGGGTATCACCGGTTGAGTGCCATCGCCGAGCTGTCGGATGCGTTCACTCGGGGTTTCTCTATGTCCTGAGAAGGAAGTGATATTGTAGCCGAACGTCACCGGCGTGTGGTTCCAGCCCTCTCTTCGAGCCCCCCTTCGACTTGTACGTAGCTGAGCGATGAAGCGGTACGATAACCACTTCCGGGTCTGCGCCCGCTGCCAAGACGCCGCATTATTTGTAGAAAGCATCCAAGTTCCAACAGACCTCACTGGAGATCCGCAAACTAAGAAGGACCCGAGCCAGGGGACCGCTGCGGATGACCCTAGAGCCAAACGACCCTGGCGATTCCGCACGATGGACATCTATTGACTCCAGGTGCAAATCATTTGTGGCGATTCCTCAGCTCGCCCAGCGGAGTATCTCCCAAGACTTTTCCAAGACGGCAAGATGCGCCCATACGAAGCATTGGCATCGCCAAGGAGAAAGCCAAGTTGCCGCGAACCGAGGTTTCTGCAGTGATTTACGCATCGTGGTTCTTGGAAGAAGTTTCGTTCCAGCGTCTACAACATGAGAGTTCTGACGAACGTCAAAAATGTAATTTATCAAGGGAAAGTTTAAAAGAACCTTCAATCATCGTTTCATGACGGTAATCGTTATTGGAAACAGCCGTCTAGACCATTGGGTAAAGGCGAGTCATTGGGTTGGCTTGCGCCAAGAGACCATTTCGAACTCACATCGAATACGGAAGCTTCTTAACAGTCGCCCTGGCGCATGACTGACGATGTCGACCATGAGGATGCAAGCTATTCGCGTAGTTCCCGACTTATTCACGGGCTGCCACATCTGCCGCCACGCCGCCCGAAGAGCAAGAAATGGAATCCAGGATATGGCTTGCGATGGCCCAGCGCGGAGTCGCGCCGCACAAACGTTCTTGACGTCTCTTGGCACGCCTAACAAAGTGCCTGCTGTGTTTCGAGCACATAATGAATGATAAGAGATCACGCGCCTATTGCGATAACAGTGGAGGGAGTTACACCATGTCGAGTTGGCCAGCATCCCTGATGCAACATCAAGCTCGCAACGCGCGGTGTACCCAATCGCAGCGTCGGTTTTTGACCTGCCGAAAGAAGACCAGTGCCGGTCGGGAGTGTGCTCTGGCGCGAACGACAAGACACCGTACGGAAAAGCTGTTGGCCTGTTGTGCGTGTACGGTCTTGAAAATGGCGGGTGGCTAGTCCCTGCAAGCCAAGACTTCAATGTCACAGGGCAAACGCCGCGGCCGGCTGTGATTTCGAGGGCTTATCATCGGCTCGTAAGCTGGCGCAGAAGCATCATGTTCCGCAGGGAGTTCCGCGCGCCAGCAATCCTACCGGCGAACATCTATGTTGTGTGTATCGTGTCCGACGCAAGTCTGATGTCCGTTTGAAATCGAGATGTGAAGTGCCCATTATCGGCGAACGATTTGGGAAGAGTAAGCGCAAAAAAAAAATCCGTGAGCGCATGTCGAATGCTGGTTAGGTGGTATAGTGAAAGGTACGGATATAGACCTCAAAATCGAAAGCAATCTGGCCCAAATCGCACGGAGTGGCTAGCCAATTGTACGGCAGAAGACTGACAGGGATGACTGATAGGACGCGTTGCTTGATCCATCTAATAAGCTGCCGATGTTTGGCGCCAGTCTGGTTCGAGCATGGATGATGGCCGTCAAAAAGTTCCTCCAGAAGCAGTGTTCTGCGTCCCTCCGCCCCCGCACACCTAGCTGAAGTTCTGAACACAGATTACACAGATTAATCAACTTGCCACTTTGTGGCTGGTCGGATGATACGACTCCTCTTTGTTCACGGCTCTTGAGTGGTCAATTCGGTTGCAAATCCCCCGTCCATCTGGCTGATAAGAGTCGGAGAGATGGGCTGGGGGAGAGAGGGGGGGAAGGGACAGACAGACAGGGGTTGGTCTCCGTAACGGAGCAGGGCTGCATTGTTGGATGGGGAGGAACAATACCAATACCCTCTGTCTCACTCACGAGACTCAAGAGTCAACTCTGGTGTTGGATGGGCGTGAGGCTCTGGTAGCTTCAGCGCCTCTCTTTCAGGCTGCAGAGATGGTGTGCATTTCCCCGGATAGTGACAAGCTTTCGGGCAAGATCTCTTGATTTTCTTGTCCTTCTTGATGGCAGGTCTTGGACGTCTTGGACGTCTTGGACGCTCTTGGGAGACCTGGGGGGATGTCGTGAAAGTCTTGGGCAGCGGGCTTGGGCAAAGCTTGAGGGGTCTTGGGGGTTCTTGGGAGAGGGACGCCACGTCCAGGGTCCTTAGATCATATCCTTTTTGAGCCATCGCCGCGAGCTACCAAGGGCCCCGAGTCGTCTTTGCCGTCGACTAGCGCGTCAATGGGTAAAGGGAGAAGTAGCAAAAAGGGCCGAGGCGGGGGCTAATAGGTCGAGTGGCCGTTCCCTCCAACGTCAACAATCAGCCATCCACACCATCCAGCTAGAGGACGAATTAACCGTTTTCCACCAACCTTCCGTGCTTCTTCGACGCCGTTTTGACGGTGCCTCCCGCCCTCGCCTGGCTGCGGCAAACACCGCTGGAATAGTCGTAGTGTAACGTCGTGGCTTCCGACTAGCTCGTCTCTTCGCGTGTTGGTGAGGTGCTTTTGCTTTTGCATTGTCGTGCCTACGTAGTAAGGTACCAGCTGAGGGAAGCGAAGCGGCGCAGCAATGTAACCAGTGATAAGCTGGAACGACCGAGAGCCCATTCGTAGGAATCCAAGCAATGGTACGGGTACGGTTGTGTAGGTCTCAATACTCCACAGCGACATGATCGATTGATCGATGCCATCACAATGGAAAGCCAGGCTGGTGGATGGGATGCCTCTCCATCCCGGCCCTCACGTCTTATCGTGGTCTCATTTGGACCACCACACAGAGTTTCTTGTCCTTATTCTTCCGGAGCGGCTCCCTCCCACATGCCAGTCCCACCAAATATGCTTCTTGGCGGGAGCACAGTGAAAGGCCAGCACTTTCACACGCGACAGTGCACGGCCAATGCCGAGAGGGATCCCCGGATTGGTAGTCGTATACGGAGTCGGAAACTCGCCATGCCACCAGCATCCCCGCCACTGCCATATTGCCTGCTCAGAGCCTGAGATTGGACATTGATGGGGGGCCAGCGTGGATCAAGTGTCTCTACACGGCGTACGGAGTAACTGCGTACCAACTCTATTCATCAGAGATTCGATCGACCAAAGCGTGTGAGACACGGGCTGCTCCTCCTTCTGTTGGCTGGTGTGTCGCACCACGACGAAGCCATCGCGATTACGACGGGGGGCGGATTCGTAAAGGGCCCAACGTCCAAGGTACCATTGGCAGAACCAAATCTCGCGAGAACTGCAGCCGCATTCGCTGACGTTCAAAAAAGTCCCCAAAAGAGGTCTCCCCGCTATTGGTATCTTGGACCTGCCATACTGGATCAAGCCACTCGAGGGCCCAACTGCTTGGCATCACCAGCGGAAGCGCACTTGATCTCCTAAACAGGCGGTTTCCTGCGTGTTGGCGGCCCTGCCTGGTCGACGGGAAAGTCCAGCAGCTGGTGGGCATGATCACCTCGTCGCCAGGCGCACCAGGATCCCTCATCTCTGAAGGCCCATCCACTTTGTGGGTTCCTGGGTCAGTGGGTGCCGAATGCAACTGGACCCCGGTAGGTGGCCGGGAGGAGGAGTGGGAGGGAGTGGGAGGAGGTGGGGTTTTCCTTTCCGCCCATCGGCCCAGGACTAGGAAACTGGAGTCTGAAGGACACCAAGGGAGAAGAAGGCAGAAAAAAAGGACGAACTGAACCGGCATGTTAGAACGACATCTCAGGCATATGGTTCGTTCGAAGGAGGATGGCTATCCCGCACCCAGACTAGGCCTACTCAAGCAAGTATTGGGCTACACGTGACTACACCGCCGCAGCAGCCACGTTCGACCCGGAATCTCTATTATTCCTGCAGTTTCTAGAGGAGAGGAAGGCGTAGGTAGCTTCCTCTCCTGCTGTGTACACCTTCCTCTACTCCGTACTGCACCTTCCACTACCTCCTACTATACCTTCCACTTTACCCTCTTCTACAATGCCAACTATGGGAAGGCGCGCACCCATAGCCCAAAACGTAAATACCCTTTGGCAGTATAGTCAAGCGCAGCCCACCATTTGCTCAAGTAGGCCTAGTCTGGGTGCGGGATAGCCGTCCTCCTTCGAAGGAAGTTTGTGTCTCTGCATGTACTGGGATAGACGCTGTGATTCTCTCTTGTTGGTCTTTTTCACCACCCTCTCACTTCCTCCATATCATCGTCTCACAACCTCTCATCTCATCTTATTCTTTCATTGCAGCCGCCCCCCGGTAGATTGCGCCCAAAGCGGTTCTAGTGCGAATGCAGACCGATCCCTCCTACCGCGTCCCAGAACCTTTGATATCGGTCTTGTCGCAATGCAGAAGGTAGACCTCCCTGTCACAAGCGTTGCACTGGGGTCTTCGGACGCACAAGCAGAGGAGGGAGGGTGACGGGCTGGAGTTCCAGCCCTGAATATGATCATCCCTGCCACCTCGACTCGGATTCCAGAAAGGGGAAGCTCGCTGGTTCGACTGGCCCAGTGCCATCTCGGCTTCCCATCTATACCAGGCGCATAGGGATCTCTGCTGTTACCTGTATCCTCGGGATCGTCTCGTGGCGAAACTGGGACCACCGTCGTGTCCGTTCGTTGCCAGGCCGTTGGGAACCCTTGGCTCCACCGTCGATAAGCATCCGGTTGTGTGACAAGGATGGCCGCCTCGTGGCTCTTGAATGTTAAAAGGTCGAGATGTCCTCGGTTCCCTCCACCCGCCTCTCGTCTCTTTCTCGGTCACTGGCAACTTTCCAGCCCAAGCGTCCACGGGTCCACCGAATCAAGCTTCTACAACCTTTTCAAGGTGAAGAATACCGACCCAGTGCATCAAAATGTCCGACATTCGTGAAGAACGGGCCCCCGTCCACCAGGGCGGTGTGGTCTCGAACGAGAAGGTCTCGACCGAAAAGACTGCTCCTGTAAGTTGGTCTGGATGTCGATGAACATCACATACCTCTCCATTGATGAACCATATGCTGATGCCTTCCCCCCAGATCGTCGATGCCCACCCCGATGGGGCCGACTATAACGAACACGTTGAGCACGACTTCAACGTTACCGAAGACGATTTGCTCGAGGCCAAGGAGCTCGCCTCGCAGATGTCCCTCGACGAGGTCCGCGAGATGATGTTCAACGTCCACAAGATCCACGAGAAGGACCCCAACTTCCCTCTCGCCATTATCGAGAAGATCGAGGCTTTCCTCAGCAACGACGATGTCTTTGAGAACACTGAGAAGCATGAGACTCTCATTCAGGAGATGAAGCTCGAGGCCGCCCTCATCACCGGTAACTCGCCATACGCCGAGGTCCGCGCCGTCGTCGACAACCACGACGACCCCACCATGCCCAGTTCGACACTCCGCGCCTGGGTTATCGGTCTCGTCTTCTCTGCCCTGCTCGCCTTCGTAAATCAGCTCTTCTCCGTCCGCTACCCATCCATCACCATTCTGGCCAACGTTGCTCAGTTGCTCGCCTACCCCCTGGGTAAGCTGTGGGAGAAGTCCCTGCCTGATGTTGGATTCACCGTCGCCGGCCACCGTTACTCGCTGAACCCCGGCCCATTCAACCGCAAGGAGCACATGCTCATCACCATCATGGCCAACGTCGCCTACAACATCCCCTACACCAACTACATCATTTGGACCCAAGTGCTTTCACAGTACTTTAACCAATCCTATGCTGCCAACTTTGGGTACCAGCTTCTCATCTCCTTGTCGACCAACTTCATCGGATACGGTCTTGCGGGTCTCTGCAGAAGATTCCTCGTCTACCCTTCGTACTGCGTGTGGCCGGCATCCTTGGTGACCATTGCGCTGAACTCTGCGTTCCACACCGACAAGAACTCCGTCGTCGATGGCCCCTTCAACAGCATCTGGCGCTGGAGCAGACAAAAGTTCTTCTACATCACCTTTGCCGCCATGTTCGTCTGGTTCTGGTTCCCCAACTACCTGTTCACGGCTCTGTCCACCTTCAGCTGGATGACCTGGATCGCCCCCAAGAACCGCAACCTCGCGACAATCACTGGCTTCAACAGTGGTCTTGGTCTCAACCCCTTCCCTACTTTTGACTGGAACATCCTGTTGTACGACAACACCGACCCTCTCATGGTCCCCTTCTTCTCCACCTTCAACAAGTTCCTCGGCACCTTCATCTCCATGTTCGTCGTCTTGGCTGTTTGGTACACAAACACCTACAACACTGGATACCTGCCCATCAACTCCAACAAGGTCTACGACCACTTTGGCGCTCTGTACAACGTCTCCCGCGCCGTCAACGAGCACGGTCTGTTCGACAAGGAGGCGTACGAGGCGTACTCTCCCCCCTTCTTGGGTGCTGCCAATGTCATGATCTACATGTTCTTCTTCGCCATCTACACCGCCACCATCACCTACGCCGCTCTCTACCACCGTCACGAGATTGCCCTTGGCTTCAAGGCTCTCATCGGTAGCTTCAGAAAGAACAGCGACATTGAGAAGGACCAGGTCCTCGATGTCCACAGCCGTCTGATGAAGGCATACCCCGAGGTCCCTGAATGGCACTACCTCACTGTCCTCGTCATTGCCATTGCGTTGGGCTGTGGCGGTATCGCTGGTTGGCCCACGTACACCACCGTCGGTGTCGTCTTCTATGGTATCATCCTCTGCATGATTTTCGTCGTGCCGGTCGGTATCATCAAGGCCATGACGGGTATCGAGGTCACTCTGAACGTGCTTGCCGAGTTCATCGGTGGTTCCTGGGTTGAGGGTAACGCCCTGGCCATGAACTACTTCAAGTCCTTCGGCTACGTTACCTGCGCTCACGCCGTCTGGTTCTCCAACGACTTGAAGCTCGCACACTACGTCAAGATTCCCCCTCGCCACACCTTCTGGGCTCAGATCATTGCGACTTTCGTGTCCACTCTCGTCTGTCTCGGCGTTCTGAAGTTCCAGATGTTCAGCATCCCGGGTATCTGCACCGAGGACGCCAAGTTCAAGATGACCTGCCCCGGTATCAACACCTTCTTCACCGCCTCTGTCCTTTGGGGCACCGTTGGTCCCAAGAAGATTTGGGGTGCTGGCGGCCAGTACACTGCCACCCTCCTCGGCTTTCCCCTCGGTGTCGCCATCGTGCTCTTCTTCTGGAGCTTGAACAAGTTCTTCCCCAAGTGGAAGTGGGTTCGTCAGATTCATCCCGTCGCCATCATGTACGGAGGTCTCGTCTGGGCCCCCTACAACATGTCCTTCGTCTGGCCCTCCGTCCCCATTGCCTACTTCTCCTGGGTCTACCTCAAGGGCCGCTTCTTGGGTCTGTGGTCCAAGGTCAGTTACTTCACTGCCACCGGTAGTCGCATTTTGACGCTAACACTTACTTTCAGTACAACTTCGTTCTCTCCGCCGCCTTCTCTTGCGGTATCGCCGTTTCCTCCATCATCATGTTCTTCGGCCTTCAATGGCAGGAGATCGAGATCGACTGGTGGGGCAACTCAGTCGTAAGTTTTTTCCGGCTCCCAAGTTGATCTCAAAGGAACACTACTAACATCACCATCTTCACAGGTCAGCCAGGGTTGCGAAGGCAAGGCTTGCCGTCTGCTTACTCTTGCAAAGGGCGAGTACTTCGGTCCCCGCATTGGAGACTTCCACTAGACGTGGAACCTCTTTTCCTATTGCACAACCAAGTTGTGCTTGTGGCTTTTTATTTCGAATTTCAGCGCATGTATGATGTGATGAAAAGAGCATGGAGACTAGAGACATCGTGGACACGTACCTAGAAGCGGTGTTATAATCAGCGGATGTAACGATTTGAAGGATGAAGAAATACCCAACCATTCATTTATGACTTAGTGGAAGAATGTTATACCCCCATTGAGCAAGCTCAGTCTAGTCTTTGCCCAATGTTCTTTGATGCCGTGTTATGCGTATCGAAGTTGAGGGCTATTCGGTCGTTCTATCCCAGCATTCTTATCATTTCAACATGTCGATCTAGTAACACTTGCCAGTGATTGTTCTCGGGAGGCACTCGCCTCATTTTATGCGTTCGAATCCCAATGGTTCATGCTTGTCGTGGACATCTCTATCCCCCTTGAGCTCACGTATCTCCTGGGCCGTATATAACGAGATTTGCCAACGCCGATGCCGCGGGGTCGGCAGTCGCTCGGTGCCGGGCCGGCGTGGCTATGCTGGGAAAAGGGTGCCTCATTGGGTCGCTTAGACGATGTCCACGATCAATCCACGAACTCGCTGATCAGGCTCGGTACTGATCTCTGAGACTTTGCTGACTTTGAAGACAGGTTACTGAAATGTTGGATCTGGAGATGTTGGCGACATGACCCCCAAGATAATTAAGACACGAAATTAAAGCTCCAGGTGTGTCAAGAAGTTGTCGTCACCCTAAATTGTGTCAGCCTTACGTTATTCGGCAATAGATTTGATTGAAGCACAAGCACGCATACTCTCGACGACTCGCTGCGTGCAAAGGAAGGAAAAGCGAGACAATAGACTAATCTCCGTGGGACGACGACGACGAAGTCAGCCAGATGCGTGACGCAAGAAACGCTCCAGCTCCGTCTCTTTGAGTTAGCTTTCCATGCCTACCAGACTTTAGGAAACACCACGGCTTTCTCTTCGTGCCTCGTCTTCCCCATCATCGACTTTGAGCGGGCCTGGTGCCATCGACTTGGGCCTAATATCTATCGAAGGATGTTTGTTGAACGCATTGTGGGGGTTTTGGGTATTCGTCGAAGCCGTCGATGCTTTCTTCAAGTTAACACCAAGCATGAGATGAACGTGCAAGTAATACCGGCAGCAGGTATCAACCCAAATAGTCAAACATGACAACGGGAACGTCCGTTTAAAGGAGTAAGCCTCTTCAACATGGACCAATACAGCAATTTAATAAAGTTACAAGCTAAACCAATCAAGGCGTACACTGACGATATTCTAGGACCAACGTTGGCCCGGCTTACATTGGGCGTCTCGGCTGCTGACTGCCTCACCGGGCGACTACCGAGCCGTCAGCATTGCCCTTGCGACTTATGAGCTGTTTAAGTCCATGTATGTGTCTTTGATGCCCGTTTGAACAGTCGATAGTCGGATTTGCTCCGGTTCGACGAGGTGGACGGGGCTTATCATCAGGCAGACTCCACGGCGAGCACAACTGGGCCGCCCGAGCAGGTCGACAACAATGCCATGACCACACAGCGACACTGTTGATGGCAGGACGACTTTACCCCAGAGGTCAATTCATCAAGCCTGGAAACCAGATGAAGCTCACGGCGACCGAGCCGGCCACCGACAACAGCAACAAAGGCAGAAGGGGCTCAGCACGTCCACTGTCCGACGATCAAGAGCAAGGATATTGTCTTGGATCGGTCCAAGAGCCACTGTCTGCCGCCAGCGTTATTCCGCAATGCCAGCTCGCGCGGGACACCAAGATATCGGAGCGAGATGAGCTGCTACCACGGGATCAACTGTAGGGCAGAGTGTCAGTATCCAAGGCATCGGCGCCTCTGTACGCTACTCATACCATTTGACATTTCGTCATTGTAGATGTCGTTGTAGACGAGAGGAAAAGGAACCTGTGCTGCTCCTGGATCGCATGATCGCCTTCACCCTGCCTGCGCAGCGTGGGTAGGGCTATGAAGAAGAGGCAAGCCACTTCCCACTGGGTATTTGAGCGTTGCCAGAAAAAGCCAATGGAGTAGACTGGAGGTTTCATTCCTGAAGGTTTCCCTTCATCTGGGTGGAAGTCGCGTAGAAATGCCCTTCGATGGCGGCAGCTATACAAACACCAGGACGAGCATCGCCGCATTTCACACAGCACAAGAGAACAATGCGTAAAGCAGTCGCGAGATTGAGTTGAAAAGATTAGTCTAGACACCATGTTTATTCAGGTAGATGGTCTAGTAATATTCGAGGTTATAAAGATATCGCCGTCTCTGTGTGATGCATCAACGCGCCCAGTATCACATCACCCGCAGAAGTCAACAAATTGCGCCCATCGTCGCGGTGCACCCACGGGGAAGGACAACCCGCAGGTCTACCAAGTAGCCAGCCTTCGACCACAAACTCGCCTGTGAAAAAGCAACGTTGGGATCGAGGACACCAAAGATGCGGTTTCCCGTTCGTACCACTTAAACTACACGCGCCGTCACTCGACAAGCAATACCCATTTGTATCGGAATAACGGCACCCGAGAAAACAGCATCCTCTCCTAAAGTAATGGAAAAGAAGATGGACACCCGCCGCTCTCAATTTCACAACAATCAAGAGCATCCCTCAGCGCCGCCAACCTATCCTCGTCGTCGCCTCCAACATTCACCAGCAGTGTCTTCGCACACCCTGCACCCCGAGCCGCGGCATTCCACCCCCTCCACACCCCTCGTCCTCGTCGCCTTCGAAACGACTGCGTGCGCTCAGCGCTTCTTTATCGCTCCTCGCCAGACTGATCGACGGACACTAGGTTACTAGAGGAAGAAAGGCGGGGTAAGGTCGATTAGCGGTAGGGGCGAGCTTCGCGGGTGCGGAGGCGGAGACGGTCAGAGACGGCTCATATGGCGGAGGCGAGTTGATGCACTCGAGAGTAGACTGGGACAGTAGACTCGAAAGTGCTGCTCCTCGTCATCGTCCCCATGCGTGAGGGATCGTCTGCCGCTGAACGTCACGCGGGCCCTCAATCCGGGCGATTTGTCGTAAATGTCTCTGATGGATCCATAATTCTGTACAGCTAAGTCAATCGTAATTGTTTTAGATTTGTACCTTACTACGTAGGTATTCGTCTGTCCGATTGCCCGGGGACTGATCCGTTCGCGGCCAGCTTCGGATGTGTCACGACCTGACCATTTTGGTGTGGAAATCGCGGGGAAATGGAGCCCGGCTCTCTCTCTGCTCCAGCGCTCGCGTGCGTGAAGTGCGTGCGCAATGCGCCGCCGTGCGGGCTGGCGGGTTCTTTTTCTCTCTTTCGCTGGGAAGTCTGGAAGTCTGGAACCTTTGGAGACGGGAACGTGGGAAACTGGAGACAGGCAGCGAGATGAGATGCCGATGTGGAGATGTCCCGGGTTCGACTCTTCAAGTCCGTACGTAATGAGATGTCGGCAAAAGTGGTTTTGATCAAGTAATGGATGGAGTTTCTTTGCTGGAGTTACCAAACTTCCAAGCCGTGGATTCGCGGGGAAAGTGGTTTCCGGGGTAAAATAAACGAAGTATGCGTCAATTTATGTTTGTCAATTCCGAGTTCATGCCGTTGCCGTGAAAAGCAACGTCTTCTCACTTCTTTCATATCATCCACCTCGGCAGTCTGTCTGTCTGTCTGTCTGTCTGTGATAAAGTGCGACTGCGACTGCGACCGCGACCGCGCTCTTCAAACGTGGCTTGCTGCAAAAGAGCGGCACGGCGAGAGAATCAGCCTTCGACGCCGGGCCCGTTGGTGCTCATTGGCGGCTGAATGAAATGGGTGACGCAAATCAAATCCATCTCGCTTGCATCCGATGCCGACTAACGTTTTCCGATATACAATCCTGACGCGACTTAATCTCAACGTGCCTTGCCTTCATAGGTCGCCGATCAATTGACGCAGACGTAGATCCTTTGGTGCTTGTCTCAGAGGATTTCCCACACGTCGAGGCCGGCCGGATTTGAGGTAGGTACACCCATCACCCGGCTACCTCATCTCGGTGACCGGATGAAGCTCGACTTTTGGGCTCCCCTCACGGAAAGCATCGAAAATATCCTAGCCAAGACTAGGCCAAATGTGAATAGTCGATAGCCAACGTCTTTCTGCGCCCTGCAGCCTCATAGGGCTTCGGAAATCATGCTAGACAACTTGTCCGCCGGGGGGGTTGAAGGGGGAGGGGAGGCCTGGCTTCTACTGCCTATCTAAAGTAGTCATCCGCTCGGCGCGAGTGAGCATCAAGAGATAAGAAGCCGCCGCTATGCTACCGAATCGACCGGGAGGCAAGGCAAGGCCAGGAGAGCGCATCGTCGGCCAAGCCGTCCTCCCTTCCCGCCGCCCTTTACCCTGCGCTGCGGGCGTTCAGCCCTGGAAGATGAGCTTGCCAACCGGAAACCTTTCCTCCTCCAAGCCTAGAGTGTTTGTGTGTGTGTGCCTTATCAGTCTGCAGCAGCCCTTGGCCATGCCACGGCGATCAATCAAACGGCCCAAGCCTCTGGGGGGGAAGCCTGGGCTGGCAGCGGCATTCCTTCTTCGTCATCGCACTCTCAAAGACCGCAGGCCGCAGACGAACGGGTAGATAGCCAGGGCTTCAGTGTCCAGGACCACGGTCGCCTCGCCTTCAGCTTCGATGTTGGAAGAGACTAGGCGATCGAGTCTGACGCGATCTTGGCGCATGAGTAAAATGTCCGAAGCCGTCGCTTCTCAACGCCTGTTTTTCAGCTGGTGATGCTACTATTGGCGTGCGGCAACAACAACATCAACGACGCATCAAACGAAGTGTGCTGGACATGATGTTTCCAACGGACCACCAATAATTAGATAATCAATCGAAATAAGGTAATTGCTGCACGGACATCGTTTGTCGTGAACTCTACCCCCGAATGCGAGTCTTCGAGGTTTTACTCGCGACAACTCCGAGTCGTTCGTTCTCGTCGGATGTCGATCAGTTCATGATAGGAACCAGCACGGATGAAGGGCGCGGCTGCTCTGCTGACAGTCGTCGACGCTGATTTCCGATATCAGCCAAACCCCGTAGCCATGTGAGATTGTCCCACCACCCAGAGGGAAGAGTCCCCCAATTCGAAGCGGGTCCTTGAATCCATTCGTTGCGATCTTCGGTCAGTCCGAATGCAGGAGACCCTCGTCTCGTCTCTCGTCCCACCCACATGTCCGTAGTGCTACAATTAAACTGGAGTCTGGAGAGATAAGAAGCGAGAGCAGAGGCCAACGTCAAACGCACGCCATTACGTACAAAATTCTTCTCGCGCGCGAATGGGCACCTCACTTGGCTTCCCCAGAGGATGCTAATCCATCACCATGGATTGGATTCATGGTCCGGACACTGCCCACTTCCTCCACACCTGCTGTCGAAAGAAAGCGTGGGCCATGACACGGGGTCGGCGTGGATGGCTTCACCACGCATCACGTAGGTACGAATACAGCTTGTCTTTGAGAAAGTCAATCTGCCGCCAACTCCAAAGCCAACAAGACGTTGATGGTGTGTTTCTGGTAGCGCAGCGCCTCTCGGCCCTAACCGAGGAATCGAAATCCCTACCACTGTTACCTTGTCACGCCATCAAGCGCGCTTTACTCTTGGCCTTGTTCGCCAGGCTCAGGGCTGTTCGGTTACCGTGTGGCTGCAGTAGGCACGCAGTCGGGATGGACCGTCGCCGCCTCATCAAATCTGCCCATAAACTTTGCGAGCTTGCATAGCAAAAGAAGCGCTAATTTGCATCCGTAAGGTAGATACTGACTGATGCAGCCAAGGAGGCATGGAAAGGAGCTAGTTGCCGCTTCGAGGCCTCTTGACACGGAGTAATCTCGAATACGGGGCGTCTGCGACTGCCGTGCCGCCAATGTGGGTAATTTCTCATCATTACTGCCTGCCTCCTGGGGCTGGGAATGTTATGGTCGCGTTGGCGCTGCAACCAGACGCGGACTATACTGCAGGCCTAAATAGTTCGGCGAGATTGTTCGGACGAGCTGTTCACTTCAGACTGACCGCAAGGAAAAGGAGGAAAAAAAGGGTGCCTGTTCATCGAACCGACGAAGATGTTTCTTGGGATGCGACCACGTTGAAGTCTAGATGAATCCCAGCGAGCTCGCTCGAAAGATGACTACTCTGACAAGAGCTGTATGTAGCAATGTGCGATGCGGATGTCATGAGTCGTGTACGGGAACTCATCGCTCCCATGTCGTTCAAATCCCAGTCCATCCAGCGCGTTCATGGCGGCCGTACGAATGGAAGATTAGGTTGCCTGCAATTGCGTGAGAAATTCGCGCTTGCGGCTTCATCCCAGGCCCAGGGAATTCCCTCTCCCGAGTCTCCCCCTCACTCCCCTCTCCCCCTGACCGACACCGCACGCGGACTCACCTGGGTCAGCACACGCTCCTGGCTGTTTCCCCGAGTTCACCCCAATTAAACTGGACCCAAGTTAGGTTCCTCGAGCAAGGGTACGGATACATGGTGGGTACGGCAGCCCAATGTTCGAACTGGATCCGCATATGTGTGGTGCTTCTGGCGTTGGCAGTGGGATCCATGATCCTGCGGCGTAGATAAGCATCCCGTTTCGAACTTCCACCTGTTTGATACCGGAAGTATAGATAACGAAGCAAATGACTTCATATGCTGACTTTGTGGGTGCTACTCGCGGGAGTCTCAGCCAGAATCACAATGCCCCTCAGATTAACAAATCGAGATGCAGCGAAGCGTGTGAGTGACATTATTGGAGGGAGGACCCGATGGAAGGACGCTAGAAGGACGAGTAGAAGGTCTTGATCTGCCTGGCCATGCAGTGATGCTGGGATTCGCTTGTCACCCGCCGCCCAAAGGATGCGACCTACTGCAGCCATTGCAGAATAGTGGTCGCAGGGGATGATAGGGCGTTGGCAATCGCCAATGGCTAGAGACCGAAATGACCGATATTCAGAGTTAAGCAGGTTATTGGAATTGGCGGAAGAAGGGGAGGGGGGTCGCAGACATGTGGTGCTGCCACCATCGACCTTCCTGGCGCGAGAGACTAGAAGTTCTGCCCCCCTTTGCCGTTCATACTGGATGACTAGGAACCAAAGAGTAGGTAAAAGTAAGCACATAAGGAAGGTAGGCAGACAAGTAGGCAAAGCTGACGGCGCACTGATGGCTGGTTCGAAACGTGCCGGCCTATGGGATGAGCCGAGAACACCATCAAACAGCTTATCGCATTGCCACTTGTCAAGGTCGGTTGATGTTGGTTCCGAAAGCGCCGCATCTCCATCGACACGCAGCGGCACATCACCAGACGCAAAGGCGACACTCTGTCATCAACCCTGTTGTCGAAGAGGAGTGGCTATTGTCACCTGCGCCTCTTCACCCGGGGAACTGGTAGGACCTCTGCCGGATGGGGGTTTTTGTCGCAGACGTATCATGTCTAGTCAACCATATTACATTATAACCAACTGTCGCAACCAACACAGCCGCGCGATAGGGCCTACGCCGGCGACGACGCGAAGTTGTCGTGTTCTGCAGGGAGGGATGGGAACACCGGGAGCTATCGACCAGGGGTGGGACCGATTCCACCTGCTGCGTAAGGTAGTACTCTTCCCCTGTTGATTGCAGAAGAGAAAACTCCCCGTTCCAACTATCTGCGATCGAAACGAAACGCAGTGCTGAACCGGCAGGCCGTATTACCTTGGAACCTCTCCTCCATTTCTCATGCGCAAACACTGGCTCGACAGGATTTCTTCATTCGAAAAGAAACGATGACGTTGCGTGTATCTGTCGCATTGGGTAACTTGCACTATCACAAGCCATCATGCGGTAGCGCTGCCAGTGCAGCAAGTACGCTAAAGTTGAGGCATCGAGGTCAGACTTTGTGCCAGCCGCGGTCGTTGGCTCTGTCGGCTGCACGACGTCGGGGCTCTTCAAGGATGATGGAAACCTGGGGCGGCCAAGATCAGCACCCCCTGGTCCACCCACACCACATGCATTCTCGGACCAGCCAGTTGTCTGGCCGCAGTCGACTTCTTGGCAACCCAAGCTCTTGAAAGGGAAGTTAGGGAACAGCCAGTTTCCGTGAATGCCGCGCCGAGAAGTGTAGCAAAAGCCGCTGCAACCCTGGCAAGAAGCCTGGTTGGACATCATTGGTGTGGCTTACCTGCAGGATTTTCTTCCCGATGAGCCTCCTCGACTTCGACGATTTCCAGTGTACCGGGAAGACAGAGTGACCGAATCGCAGCAGAGACTGTTGTGTACTATAGCACGCAGATTGCAACGCAGGCTAGCCTCCTGGCTTCGTCTCCAGCGTCGTGGACCTGGACCTCTGCGTGGACCATCTCCCCTCACCGACCCGGGCCCAAAGATTCGTGCTCTCCACTTCACATATGCCCCCCAGGGCCCCAGTCCCACAGACAGGTTCGAGAGGAGGAGGGTCGGACTGGATCCTGAGATAACGTTGAGGAGGCAGCGCGCAATGGACAATAGGAGGGGCGGCCACTTTTTCGGAGCCATTTGCTAACGGCTTCAAGTGACAAGTCGCCCATTGGCCAACCAGCACAACCCACGCTATCTGGGGGCTCTCAGGCTTTCTCAATCGCCCGGCTGGGGCGTACGCATATGTCTCGGTGCCACGGTGGAGAGCAGGGTGACATCCCATTGCTGTGGTTCTCGTCTCCCCCAGGTCACGGTCGCTGGCGACGGGGTCTCGTCCAAATCCACTTCGTTACGACTGCGACTGCGACGGCTTGCCCTTTCTTCGGCCGAATATGGGTTTGTACCCGTGCCTGGGTTCCTCGTTAGTGCATCATGCATACCGGAAAGCTGTCCGCAGCCAGTCCGCCTAACTCACCAGGTATCTCGTCCTCAGCTCGCCCAGACAGTAGTGCTCCGTACGAACACAGAGGAGTGCCTACGCAGTAGACTCAACGACGGGGAAGGTTTCGCTCGTTCCCGCTGGCCTGCCCTTGGACTTGGTACGTATCGAAGCACGACCAAAAGACAAATCGCCTCCATCCCTCCCCCAAGTCGTATGCAACAAGTAACGGGGGTTGCTGCCAGGATAGCCTGCCATATCCTGTCCTTGCCAAGATCTGCGTCTGTCGCCCGTCGAGAGGGGGGCAAAGTTGGATAGACCAGCTTGATACTCAATCGGCCCTGGACCCTCATCTCTCCCTCCTTCTCTTGTGTGTAATTTTCCATCGTCAACCAAGTTCAGCCTATCGGCTTTCCATGCATGACTGGATCCGCTTGCCGCCCTTGACAAGAACCCTTAGTCCTTGCGCGCCGGTTTCTGTGCTCTCGATTGGCATTTCCTTCATAAACCTCCCCCCTTCCCCCATCTGATCTGGTTTGTCTCGTGTTCGACAGCCATCCCTCTCCGTCATTTCTGTTCTTCTCGGGCCCTCTTCCCGCAGCATTCTTTTGTAACAGACACTGCTTGTCTGTGTAACCCCATAAAGCCGCGAAATTCATCGCCATGGCTGCACCAGAAGGGGTTGTGCCCACCAAGGTCGAGGCCGATGAGAAGGCCACCGGTGGCCTTCCTGGGTACGACACCGGCAGTGGACAGGAGATTCGAGGCGATATCAGCGAGGACAGCTGGGCAACACGCAATGGTCTCAACTTGAAATCCTTCACGAAGAAGGATTACGGTCGCGGCATCGTCGAACTCGACCGCGCTATGAGCTCTCGCCATCTCCACATGATTGCCATTGGGGGTTCCATTGGTGCTGGTTTCTTCGTCGGTTCCGGTGGTGCTCTGAGCAAGGGTGTAAGTATTCCGTATCTCTCGTTAACGGTGGTTTCTAACGCTGAAGCAGGGCCCCGGATCGCTCTTGATCGACTTCCTTCTCGTGGGTATCATGATGTTCAACGTCGGTAAGTCTGATAATCCCTGCCAATCTCGTACACTGAAGAAGCCTCTGACAAGGTGCAGTGTACGCCTTGGGTGAACTCGCTGTTATGTATCCCGTCTCTGGTGGCTTCTACACGTACTCGACTCGCTTCATCGATCCTTCCTGGGGTTTTGCCATGGGCTGGAACTATGTCTTCCAGTGGGCTATTGTGCTACCGCTTGAGCTGACTGTCTCTGGTCTTGTCGTCGCATACTGGAATGACACTGTCAACGTGGCCGTCTGGATTACACTTTTCCTTGTCGTCATTATCATCATCAACATTTTCGGATCTATTGGATACGCTGAGGAAGAATTCTGGTCGTCGTGCCTCAAGCTCGCGGCCACTGTTATCTTCATGATCATCTGCCTCGTCCTTGTCCTCGGTGGCGGACCGTCTAGCGGCAGATACAGCGAATACCAGGGTGCGAAGACGTGGTATGATCCGGGCGCATTCCGCAACGGTTTCAAGGGATTCTGCTCCGTCTTTGTCACGGCCGCTTTCTCCTTCTCCGGAACTGAGCTAGTTGGTCTTGCTGCCGCCGAGGCCAAGAACCCCGTCAAGTCGCTTCCCGGTGCCATCAAGCAGGTCTTCTGGCGTATCTCGCTCTTCTACATCCTGGGCCTGTTCTTCGTCGGTCTGTTGATCCCCTCCGATGACCCTGCGCTGCTCTCCGAGTCTGCCTACTCTGACGTCAAGGCCTCTCCCTTTGTGTTGGTCGGCAAGTACGCCGGTCTCGTGGGCTTCGACCATTTTATGAACGTGGTTATCCTCGTCTCTGTCGTGTCGATTGGTGTGTCTGGCGTTTACGGTGGTTCGCGTACCCTCACTGCCCTGGCCCAGCAGGGCTACGCGCCCAAGATCTTCACCTACATTGACAGATCAGGACGTCCGCTGCCTTCCGTGCTGGCTGTCATCATTTTCTCACCCTTGGCGTATATCAACCTCAGCGCGAGCGGCCCTGTTGTGTTTGACTGGTTGTTGGCTCTTTCCGGTTTGGCTGCGGTCTTTACCTGGGGATCCATTTGCTTGGCGCACATTCGCTTCCGCAAAGCGTGGGCCTACCACGGTCACACTGTCGACGAGATCCCGTTCAAGGCCATTGGTGGCGTCACCGGCTCCTGGATCGGACTTTTCCTCTGCTTCGTTGTGCTTGCTGCTCAGGTAAATAAAAAACCTTTTGGCGGGATCAGAGATGGCATGCTGACAAGAATCCACAGTTCTACACTGCTATCGCACCCCCTGGCACGACCGAGCTTAATGACGCTGAAGGCTTCTTCAAGTCGTATCTCGCCCTTCCTGTCGTCATCGTGTTCTGGCTTGGTGGTTTCTTCTGGAAGCGCACTGGCTGGCTCCGCACTGCCCAGATGGATGTCGACACTGGCCGACGTGAGCTTGACTGGGACGAGATCCACGCATACCGTGCACACATCGCCTCGCTCCCCGCATGGAGGCGCGCACTCCACAAGGTGTGGTAAACGGTGTTGTTGTTGCCAAAGGGGGAACTACGTGCTGTCGCATTCATGTATATTTTAATCAAAATCCTGCGTTGAGGATGATCGGGATGGGACTACCGTCCTGGTAATTGTTAGCAAAATGAAGATACCACAAGTGCTTTGATATCAAATCTGTTTCATACTCATATCCTACCATGCGTTGAAAGTACCGGTTGCAATTCATGCTCTCATTGTGTGTTGGCTAGGACAGCAACAAGGGGATTGTCTGTATATTCCGCCGTGAACCACTCTCAAAAGAGATCTGGTTGGCATCTCTGAAGCTGTGGGTTATGGCGCAGTTATAAGCCCAGAAGCTGTGCCGCCAACCAAGAGAATGCCAAGGCCAAGTGTGTGCCTTATCTCGGAGAGCAGCGGCAGTTCAGCAGTGGCCCATGCCAACAGCAGCGATAACACAAGGTAGGCGAGCGTTGTTGGTGAAGATAAGGGCGACCAGCCCAGAAGAGCAGGTGATGCCCGATTGTCGGACAGCGGTAACTGGAGATGGTTGGTCCGGCTTGTTTGATATCTCTCGGCGTAGGGGGTTCACGGTCGACAGATAGTTCTTGGGAAGAAGGCCTAGCCGGATTCAGTGACCCATCCCGAGGAACTGACAGGGCCAGAAGAACACCTAGTAAAATCGGAATGCGATATCGGGTGGCGGCACGGTGATTCTGAGGTCTCGTGAGGATTGTCGGGCTGGTTAATCAACAAGATAGATGTTGCCGCATTGGTGAGTATTAGACAACTCTGTCAGTCGTAGTTGGAGGCAGCCGGGCAATAGATTGCGATGGAAGTCGGACGGAGTATCCCCGGGCCGGAAAGAACTGATGGAATGGCATGGAATGATTCCAGATTTTCGAGGGAAGGCGTCATTGAGTAAATGGCATACCAGGAAAGAGCCTTGCTCTGGTTGCTCCATCGTGGCCTTTTACCTTACAAAAACATCAAAAGACGGCTGTTGGGGTTCATTTAAACAACGCTCAATCTGCGTGACAGGGTGACAAAAACGCCTTAGCATACCACAGCGTTGACTACATGTCATTCCGGCGCCCTTTTGACACACGTCTCCCCACAACGCCCCGCTGGAGGACATGTCAGACCCACGCCTGAACTTACTGAATTGCCTCTTTGATGGGAGACAGGCAATGTTCAACCCATCTGCTGAGCTTTCACTGATAGTCGCAATTGCTTCTGAAATCTTACTCTGTCATTTATAAGATGAGAGGACGACGTGCTTCAGGAATGGCGCACTTAGCACCAAGCATAGAGACATCTGCTAGCCCAGGCTTCCAGATATGACTTTCACTACACTGCTACCAAATGCTTAGGTAATTTAATTCTATCATCAAGCATCCCTATCTAAGGTACACGATGTGATACGATGAAATTTGTTTGACTGGCTCAGGTTTCCTCCCTTTAAAGGCATGTCTACCCTGATGAAGACCCCATCTGTATGCCTTGGAAAGCGTCGTTTACCTTGCCAGAGTATACACGGATAAGTAAGATAGATGACGAAAATGAAGCCTTTCTGCAAGGGAGTGATGAGTTCTCGAGGAAGGCAAGCTTCGAAAATATTTCAAACTTACACGAGACGAACATGAGAATCTGCCAGGGTAACATTGATATGTGGAATACATCGGCAACAAGGTACCTAACAAGCAAGACAAAAGTGCCTTGAGAGTACTCTTGGCAACAGACTCATATGTGTTTGCCCGCTCTGACAGTGAATCACATAAAATTACTCTCATTCTATAGTGACTGCATATTACCTCTGTATTCTTGCAAGACATAACTTCGCCTCTCCATTACAACGCGGGCGTCGAATCGGTAAGGTAGAGAGCCGGCCGGCAGGTACAGGCAGTGGGGCGCGGTGCTCGGCCATGTGGGTCCACTCAGCCGCAGTGCGCCCCCCGAGTTTTGCGCAGCGGCGCACAACTCACCACAGCCATTTCCCCCTTCAAAGCTGAGCATCTCACCCATCTCCAAGCTCTGATTTACCTCAATTTCGTATCTGATCCGTTCGGTTCAACGTCTGAATTTCGACTTCTATCTTTCGGAATCGGCCTTAGCTTACCTCACCTCGCTGTACAGACAGGGCCTGTACATAGCGCGCCACAATGAGCCCCGCGCCCCCCAATAAGGGCAAGGCTCCCTTCGACGATGATGGAGACCTGTCTGACGGCTCATCTCATCCAAGCGATGCTATGCACGTTGATGTCGAAGTCATCTCCGCTCAGCTCCAAGAGGGGGACAAAAAGCCGGATCCGGCCGCTTCCGCTCAAATCCCATCTCGAGACTCTCTGCGAGCCACCCTAGAGACTCAAGGCGAGAAACCTGTCAAGCTAGAACGACTTTCACCAGACCTGAAGCGAGGATTCAGCACAAATTCTACCGCATTTGATGCAGAGTCTGCTCATTCGGAAACTACCCAGAAATCTTCTTCGCCCCTGGATTTGACGATGAAAAGGAAGAAAAAGAAGGTCAAAGATACGGACAACCATGGACATGGCGCAGCTTATGACGCGCTGAGGGAAGTCGTCGAAAATCGTTTATTGGACGCAGATCAAATTGTCAAGTCAGAGTTCTCACAGAACGATATCACGACCCAGCTCCGGGGTCCCGGTCACCAATCGCTCGAGAGATCAAGCGCGATGTCTGAAGGCGACACCGCGAGCAGCGCGTCTAATGCAGAGGATGAGCCAGGGATTCAGAACGAAGACCCTACAAAGAAGGTCCAACGCCTCATAGTCGATAGGGTCATGTCATCATTCATGAGTTGGCTTGACATAAAGAAGCAAGTCAAGCGAGAGAAGGAGGAGCAAGGGAGTGAAACGCAAATAGAGGAAGCCTTGTTGGAAGCTGCCCCTGGCGGCGATGCTGCAGACGAGGCCCTCCCCGAGTCCAGTCCAACAATGTTGGCAAGTCTTTCTACTAGCGCGGCGAGCTCTTCAAGAGGGCATGAACTCGAAAGCTTCATGTATCGTCAAGTTCCAGCTCCTAGTGCTCCTGCACCCGTCACTCGCCACAGACATTCAAACATTGCTCTCCCACCGCCGCCCCCGCGAGTCTCAAAGATGAAGCCACGAAAAGTGTTAAAGTGTGGAGGGGCTTCAATGCAAAGACCACCGCCGCCAATGGGACGAGGGTCGCAGTTATCTGCGACCTATGTGCCAAGTTCCGATTCAACGGTAGATTTTGCGGGGATACCACCACTAGCATCAGCGACAGAACCACCAGTTCCAGCACTAATACCACCGCAGCAGGTGCAGTCGCGATCAGGCTACACTGCTAGGGGGGCAAGCGAGGTCGAAGAAGTCTCACGTTCTGGCAAACGGAGTGCTGCTCCAGAATCAACATCTCGATCCTTCGTCTCGGCAGCGTGGCCGATTATAGGATCACCCGCTCCTTCGCACCCGGCAGGAGCTTCACGGCAAATACCGGCAGAGAAAGGAGCGGGTGACACCAGCACAGTGACTATGCACACAGGCAAAAGGGGGCGTAAGGAAAACTCGTTGAGAAAACACGACAGGTCTGCAGGCGGTCGAGCGCCGGGTGAAGAAGAGGAAGAGGACGAAGGAAATCAACTGCCCCGAGCGAAACTGTCCAAAGTCCAGGAAGACGCCATTGTGGGCGCAAAACTTGCGTGTCCCTTCTTCAAGCACAATCCGAGGAAGTACAAATCCCAGCGACCATGCTGTGGGCCAGGCTGGGACCAAGTTCACCGTATCAAGTACGTTGATCCTCCCTTCCCACATGATCTCAACTCACTGCTAACGACCCGTCAGGGAGCACATTTATCGCAAGCACTCTCTTCCAAAGTTCTCGTGCCCGCGGTGCTCGCAGTCTTTCGAGACCCAACTGGCTCTGCAAGCCCACGCCCGCTCGCTGGACGCCTGTGACGTACGCGAACCGGAAGTCTTGGATGGCATCACGCAGGATCAAGAGAAGAAGCTTCGTTCTCGGAAGAAGACGTCGGTCAAAGAACTCACCGAAGCGGAGAAGTGGATTCAAGTCTACCGTATCCTCTTCCCTGACGTGAGAGAGCGGGAAATTCCGTCACCGTGTAAGCTTATGCCCCTACCGATGGAAGCAGGAACTGACTGTAATTCTTGCAGACCATAATGCAGAGGACGCCGAGAAGAATCTGGGAGGCTACGAAGATTATCTTCGCCGTGAACTTCCACCGCTGGTCCGCCGACAGCTTGAAAAAGAGGTCGAGCGTGAGCTGAGTTTCGTCGAGGAAGGGATGAAGCAAAAGGTCATTGACATTGCTCGGAATCTCCAGCTCACGCTGTTCAAGGGCTACCAACAGCTTGAGAACCAAGAGCGAGGACTGCAAGAAGCGCTGAGTGTTGATGCGTCTTCAAGCTCCGAGATGGCAGCGTCTTTCTTCACGGCGACCGACGCTTCGCCGTCAACCATGACGACTGGCGGCACAACGCCAGAGATTCCGGATCCGTTGGACATATTTGGTGATCCCGCTATTCCGGACTTCGACTTTGGTTTTCTTGCCGATATTCCTTATCCAGAGTCGCAGTCGCCCTCTAAGGGGCAGAATCTGGGCTTGGAGTTCAATCCTTCTTTTGCAACTCAAGAACCGGCTACGATCACACCTGTGATGGAGTTGCTCGGGGCACAGCAACACGATCTGCCATACTACGGACTAGAAGGCTACCAAGATCCAAATAGCCAGAGGATAGACGCGAGCGTTCTGAGCTACCTTCCATGAGCTGATGGGCATGTTGCGCCATTTGCTGGACTCTTATTGCTCATTTTTTTTTCCATTGATGTAGTACTCAAGATACCCAATCATTCTATCAATTCATCATTGACAGCAGTTTTTGCCTTGTATTAGGAGGGTGTCGGTTCGTAACGATGTCATAAAGCCGTCGTATCAAGCCTATGGGCATCCCACCATAGACAATGGTTTATATCGCTGCGGCCCCGGCCCAAACTCAAGGCACGGGGTCCCGGGGTGCAAGTCCGGAGATAAGCGGGCCAGCCAAAGACCGGGAGCCGGGATCCCAAGAGGTTTTGAATTAAGGTTTACTTGCTTACGTTGACTGCATATTATGGAGCTTTGCATACTGTGTAGTGGCATGCCGCTTGTTTTCTCCCTGCTGTACGATTCGTTTTCGTCTCTAGCCAACTTACCCGGCCCTATTGTTGATAGATGCTTACGTTGACTGCAGCTGAGCCAGCCGGAACTGAAAGTAGACCCAAGACCATCATACATTACAGAGTCGTATATAAAACGTGAACGATCATGATCTATTTGGCACGAGTCGTCATCGAGCCCTGTAAACGTCTCAAGCATTTCGAAATCCAGCAAAATGGGTAGCGCATTAAGCAATATGTTCCCGCCAAAGGCCAGCTTCACCGAAGCAAATTTGCCCGATCAGAGCGACAAGGTACCTTCCGTATTCTATACCACTTATCCATACTGGTTCGAACTGACATACATAGGTTTTCATTGTCACAGGAAGCTCAGGTGGCCTCGGAAAAGAACTTACCAAGATCCTCTACCAGAAGAACGCCAAAATCTACATGGCGTGTCGGTCTGAAGCCAAGACCGCAGCCGTGATCAAGGAGCTGAAGGAACTGTATCCCAATTCTCACGGCCATGCCGAGTACCTCCATCTGGATCTGAACGACCTGACCACAATCAAGCAATCCGCTCAGGAATTTCTTAGCAAGGAAACTCGTCTTGACGTCCTCTGGAACAACGCCGGTGTGATGACCCCACCGCCGGGTTCCAAAACTGCCCAGGGCTACGAGCTGCAACTGGGCACCAACAATCTCGCTCCATTCCTCTTTACCCACTTCCTCCGCCCAGTGCTATCCGGCACGGCAAAGGTTGCACCCAGAGACTCCGTCCGAGTTGTCTGGGTATCCTCTAGCACGGCGGCCATGGCACCAAAGCCGCCAATCGACTTTAGTAATATGGATTATGCAAAGGACGAGGGCCAGGTGCAAAAGTACGCGAGGAGCAAGGCCGGTAACGTCTTGCACGGAACGGAATTCGCGAGAAGAGTATCTGGCGAAGGAATCATTAGCGTTGTAAGTTGGTGGCCATCCCTGAGCTGTTGGACGTTTGCGGCTACTAATAGCGACGGCAGAGTCTTGACCCCGGGATTTTTATGACGGATTTGCAGCGTACCATGCCACTGTGGCAGCGGATCATTGTGGTAAATTGTGCCCGCAAAAACTTGTAACTCTTCTATTTCTAACCACCTTTTGATGTGTCCTCTAGAATTTCCTAGCGCATAAGCCGATCAATGGCGCATACACTGAGCTCTTTGCCGGCTTGAGCCCTACCATCACGGAGAAGAACAACGGTGGCTGGGGTAAGCTACTCTGGTATTGGAATAGTTGAATATAATGCTGACGACAGTTCCAGTGGTACCGTTTGGTCAACTCGCAGTTGGACGACAGGATCTCCGCGACAAAGAGCTAGGCAAGAAGTACTGGGAGTGGACGGAGGAACAGCTCAGGCCATATACTACTTCGTGATGGATTGGCGCTGCCCTATCCTGATTTCTCATGTTGCTCTTGGTCTTCCTTACTCTTCTCCCCTGTGTATAACAACTAGAACCTACCTGTCCAGAGAAATTTGCGAAATCTGTACACAGGCCCATTACATATGGTCATTTACAAGGTTCCCCGCCTCTTAACAGCCCCGTATACTCCTCCACCAAGCACTGTTATGTATTATGCCGTCTTTATCGTCTCTTACTACTCCTTTCCATTTCTCCAGAAACCATGGCATCGCTTCCCAGCTGCGGCCATCCCACGGCACACCGTTCCCACGCCCATGCATGGAGCCCATTACGGAGCCCCAGCATTGAATTCCTCCGCCCAGCATGTCGATACAGAGGTCATCCTCGTCTATCTGCGGCGAGGCCTCGGAAGCGAGTGCGATGACGTTGGAGCGGAAAGATGGCCAGGGGATCAAGTCGAAGCAAGGATGATGAGCACGAGCACGCTGGATGAAAGTCGGCCTCAGATCCGGAGTGATCTTTTGAAGATCTGTGTCATTGTCGCCTGAGTTGTTGTCGTGTTCGCTCAGAGGACTATGTGCAATGCTGTAGAATGGTGACTGCGCGTTCTCGTCCATCAGATACTCTGTCGTTATGCTGAGCTGAGCTGCTATCGCACGCATTGCCGACGCGTATGAAATTGACCTTAGGTGAAGGACGCCTCTGGAGGGGCTGGGCCAAATTGGCTGGAGCCATTCAAGTGTCGGCTGCTCATTCGGTGCCGTAAGATGAGCCAGTATCCTGAGGCCGGCAATGACAACCTGCCTCATGTCGACACTGCCGCATCGCGCCTTCACAGTTGCGATCCACTCACGCGATGACAGCGACAAAGCGCTATCGTAAAGTACAGGGTCCATGGAGTATCCCATGGCTATCAATCCGTACTTGACAACGTCACGAAGTGTAAAGTTCTCCCTCACTATGATGCCCCAGCCTTTCCTATTTTCAAGGGCTGAAAGGGATAGCAACGCCCGGTAAATATCCGAAGCTGTAATATTGCATGAAGCAGTACACGCGTCTGCCTTGCTATTTGATGGCTCGTCCACCGTATAGCGAGTAGGAGGGTAGGTTACAACCTCCTTGACGCAGTCTTCCGCTGCTGGTTCTTGCGTTACCCACGCAGCGGCGACCATCTGCTCTAGATGCCGGACTTTGGTCTTCTGCCTCGCGCCTGGTTTTTCAGTAAGCAGAATACATCATATGGGGGTTCTTAGGTTGCATACGGTATGCCCGCTGGGCGTCGGCGTTTTGGCGCTTCCGACGGTCCTTCGCATCAGGCATCTTTCTGCGCGGCATTTTGACGTGGTGGTCACAAACAGCTAAACCTGAACTACCGACTCCTTGAGGTCTGCAATTGATTCAACGTTCAAAGAAAGGGATCGAAGCGTATCTCGACAGATTGACGTATGCAGATTTACTTTCAGAATGCTGTACAAGTGGTTTGACGGGGGGAGGTTGAGTGAGTCTGCGTCACGGACATTGAGCACAACCTAATCTCCGCAATGTCCGGATGCCAAGTCAGGTGTATTCGAATGCCTCGAACGCGAAAGTTCAACACTTATCACGGAAACTTCAAACTAATATGCATATTTCTGGAGCCTGAAGATGCCAATTTTGATCTCTTTCTCAAAGGTAAGTAAATTGCTCGATTCTCGTCAATTTTGCTACGCAAGTCACAATCCCCTTCCAATCAACTACAACTTCCCCTTGCGGTTATCCTCGCCAAGCTTCAGAATGGATGCAAGGTTGTTTGCCTCAATGACTTCAAAAAGCTCCCCAAGACCAGCGAGGCGACGTTTCTCACTCTCTCTGCGGAAGAACTCCTCCGCCGTCTTGATTCTCTCTGGGTGAATCTCGTCCAAGAGCGCGTAGTCACGTTGAATGACGCCCTTGTTGCCCCCAGAGTGTGTCCACATTGTCCAGAAGCCCGAGAAGTTTTCTCTAACTGACATAGTCGCCGGATCCGTGGGATCAGCGTTGTAACCCGCAGGTTGGCTAGAGATTGGGAAGTTGTCGAAATAGACGTCCATGGGAGTGTCAATGTACTGAGCAGGCTTTCCCGTGACCTTTTCAAACGCTTTTGCTAGGTCCTCATAGTGAATATGGTCAATGGACACCTCCAGATCCATCCCATCAGATCTTTCGGGGTGGTCGAAGAGCCAACGGGCATAATATTCGCAATCATCGAGGGCAACGTGGGGAACTGCGCCTGCACCAAGAGGTACTCTCCATGTGACAATCCCGTTCTCGACCCGTGGCGTCATGATCGTCTTGGAAGAGATTGCCATCTCAATGTAAGGGCCGGTAGTGAAGATGGCGACACCCATGTTGTTGCCTTTTCTCTGCTGTAGCATCCACTCGGCCAAACGTCCTTTGCCGTCGTAGTGTCCGCACCGGAACTTTGGGTTATAGCCACTCTTCTTGTAAACGTAGTCGAGATTTCCAAAGACGAAGAATTTGATCCCGAGCTCCACCGCCAGCTCGTAACAGCGGATCGTCCAGTAGGTCTCTGCCTTCTCGCCGCAGTTGAAGCCATCGATGTTGATGAAAGCACCCCAGCATCCGGCGAATCCCTTACGTAGGTCATCTTCGTTGGCGAAAGTCCCCTCAATAAATTCAACATCTCCGAGTTTCGAGAGTTCTGCCGCCCTCGCAGAGGTGGAGTCACGCGTCAATACGCGCAGACTGTAGCCTCCATCCTTGGCAAGACCTCGACAGACGGGAAGACCTTGGGCACCAGTGGCACCAATGACGAAGATACGGCGGTTTGCCATATTGGTGAGATATTTAAGTGATTTGAGAGTTATGAGTTGCGCTTACTATAGTGATCCTTGTCAATTACCGCAAATGCATGCTGCTCTTCTCACTGCAAGGTGCCGGGGGCATTTTCTTATAATCTCTCTTACAAGCGATACTTGATACTTCCTCGCCTCCTCCCGTCGGATCCCCTACGTAATTTTACCTGTAGTTTATAAGCAACGTGAAGTCAGAAGACAAGCTTAGACTTGCTCTCACTGATTAGTTATTCAATCAACATTAGGTGATTAGTGATCCTTCTCGACCACCAATGAAGACGGTGTTTTGGAAACATGACCAGACAGCAAACAAAGCACGGGCCCAAATGCTTCAAAGGCACTTACAGCCTTCTTCCAGAGCTACCGTCAGGATCAGAATACAATGAAGGCTGCAT